TCCTCTTAAATTTATTAAGCCTGTTGTTAGTCTACAGTAGTAGCTATCCTGGGGAATGTTCCATGTGTGCTGTGTATTCTGTTAGAATAAATAATCTGTAAATGTCATTTCAGTCCATCTCATCCAAAGTGTGGTTTATCTTCAATGTTTCCTCATAAATTTTCTGAAAGAAAGAAGATCAAAAAGGAAGAGATGGAGGAATTGAAAAATACAAATTAAATGGGAGCACTGAATGTGAACTAGAAAGAGTGAAACAAAAAAGATAAAAGTAAAAGATCATCACATAGTTCAGTTGCTTTTAAACATGGCTACTCATTAGAAACATATGTGGAGCACTTGTGAAAAACAGCAATACCTGGGCATTTGTATTTTTCAAAAAGCTTTCAAGATAATTGTGACATGCATCTGGATTTTAAATAGTGAATACAGGTTTTTCTATTAAATTGCAGTTTTGATGATACAGAGTTCTATTGTTTTTCTGTTGAGCAATCATGATACAATGGTATTAAGTGTGTAATAGTTACATAATCACAATAGTAAAAGATGTTTATTAGTTTTCACAGTCAAGGAAAGAATAGTTTTCAAAATCAATAGCCAGACAATAAAGAAATTACAATTGCAAGCCATATTGGGAACAAGATAAACCTAACAATATTTGGGGGGTCAAGCAGAGTGATGTGGTAGGTGGAATTGCATACATGCACATGTTTTCATCCACTCAGCAGTCTATGTCTTTTGGTTGGTGCATTTAATCCATTTCCATTTAAGGTAATTATTGATATGTATGATCCTAATACTGTTTCTTAATTGTTTGGAGTTTATTTTCTGTAGGTCATTTCTTTCTCTTGTGTGTCCTGCCTAGAGAAGTTCCTTTAGCATTTGTTGTAAAGCTGATTTGGTGGTGCTGAATTCTCTTAACTTTTGCTTGTCTGGAAAGCTTTTGATTTCTCCATCAAATCTGAACAAGAGTCTTGCTGGGTAGAGTATTCTTGGGTGTAGGTTCTTCCCTTTCATCACTTTAAATATATCGTGCCATCCCCTTCTGCCTTGTAGGGTTTCTGTTGAGAAATCTGCTGATAGCCTGATGAAAGTTCCCTTGTATGTTGTCATTTTTTCCTTGTTGCTTTTAATATTTTATCTGTCTTTAATTTTTGAGAGTCTGATTACTATGTGTCTCGATGTGTTCCTCCTCGGGTTTATCCTATCTGAGACACTCTGTGCTTCCTGGATTTGGTTGAATGTTTCCTTTCCTATGTTAGGGAAGTTTTCAGCTATTATCTCTTCAAGTATTTTCTCAGGTGCTTTTTCTCTCTCTTCTACTTCTTAGACCCCTATAATGTGAATATTGGTGTATTTGATGTTGTCCCAGAGGTCTCTGAGGTTGTCTTTGTTTCTTTTCATTCTTTTTTCCATATCCTATTCTGTGGCAGTGATTTCAACCATTGTCTTCTAGGTCACTTATCCGTTCTTCTGCCTCAGTTATTCGGCTACTGATACCTTCTAGTGCATTATTCATCTATCTGTTTGTTCTTTAGTTCTTATAGGTCTTTGGTAAACATTTCTTGCATCTTCTCCATTGTTTTCCCAAGATCTTGGATCATTTTCACTATCATTATTCTGAATTCTTTTTCTGGAAGGTTGCCTATCTCCACTTCATTTAGTTGTTTTTCTAGGGTTTTATCTTGTCCCTTCATCTGGGACATAACTTTCTGCTTTTTCATCTTAATGAACTTTCTGTAATGTAGTTTTTTTTTTTTAGCTGCTGTGGTACTTTGGTTCTTTTTGCTTCTTCTGTCTGCCCTCTGATGAAAAATTTCAGATTTTTAAAACTTGGAGCTGAGAATTCATTTAGACTCATATCCCCTCTGAAGATGGGATGGGGATAAAATACAAGATCACCCAAACATTTCCCTTTGGACCCACAAGAATAGCTCTGTGAGACTCACACTGTAAAAAAAAGTGAATTTTTAGCCTTAAATAACGTTGTGACATACAGACATTTTCTGATGGAAATGCAAGTATAAATGATAGGGATAGAGTAGGATATTTAGGGCTTCCCTCGTGGCTCAGGTTGTAAAGAATCTACCTGTGATGCAAGAGACATAGGTTCAATGCAGGAGACACAGGTATAGCACAGGAAACTATAGTCAATATGTTGTAATAACTTATAATGGAAAATAATTTCAAAAATAATATATGTGCATTTCTATAACTGAATCACTTTGTTGTGCTCCTGAAACATTGTCAATCAACTATACTTTAATGAAATATATATATTAAGAAAAAAATTGGAAATTTTATAAAATGAATATTCCAAATTTGAAAGAATAGTAGAAGAAAGAAAAATTACACATGCTGGCTAAATAATCTGTAGTAATATTCAACATTACCTAGCTTTTTACCACATTTTCTTCAAGCATCTTTGGTCAGTCAGTTCAGTCGCTCAGTCATGTTTGACTCTTTGCAGCCCCATGGACTGCAGCACAACAGGCATCCTTGTCCATCACCAACTCTCGGAGCTTGCTCTAACGCATGTCCATCGAGTTAGTGCTGCCATCCAACCATCCCATCCTCTGTCATCCCTTTCTCCTCCTGCCTTCAATCTTGCCCAGCATTAGGGTCTTTTCCAATGAGTCAGTTCTTTGCATCAGGTGGCCAGAGTACTGGAGTTTCAGCTCCAACATCAGTCCTTCCAATGAATATTCAGAACTGATTTCCTTTAGGATGGACTGGTTGGGTCTCCTTGCAGTCCAAGGGACTCTCAAGAGCCTTAGCCAACACCACAGTTCAAAAGCATCAAATCTTCAGTGCTCAGTTTGCTTTATAGTCCAACTCTCACATCCATACATGACTACTGGGAAAACCATAGCTTTGACTAGATGGACCTTTGTCAGCAAAGTAATGTCTCTGCTTTTTAGTATGCTGTGTAGGTTGGTCATAACTTTTCTTATCAATATGCCAGCAAATTTGGAAAACTCAGCAGTGGCCATAGGACTGGAAAAGGTCAGTTTTCATTCCAATCCCAAAGAAAGGCAATGCCAAAGAATGTTCAACCGGCCACACAGTTGCACTCATCTCACATGCTAGCAAAGGAATGCTCAAAATTCTCCAAGCTAGGCTTCAACAGTACATGACCTGTGAATTTCCAGATGTTCAAGCTGGATTTAGAAAAGGCAGAGGAACCGGAGATCAAATTGCCAACATCCGTTGGATTATCGAAACAGCAAGAGAATTGCAGAAAAACATCTACATCTTCTTTATTGACTACACCAAAGCCTTTGACTGTGTGGATCAAAACAAGCTCTGGAAAATTCCGAAAGAGATGGGAATACCAGACTACCTTACCTGTCTCCTGAAAAATCTATATGCAGGTCAAGAAGCAACAATTCGAACTGGACATGAATCAACAGACTGGTTCCAAATAGGAAAAGGAGTACGTCAAGGTTCTATATTGTCACCCTGCTGGTTTAACTTATATGCAGAATATATTATGCTAAATGCCAGGCTGGATGAAGCTGAAATCAAGATTGCTGGGAGAAATATCAATAACCTCAGATATGCAGATGACACCACCCTTATGGCAGAAAGCAAAGAAGAACTAAAGACCCTCTTAATGAAAGTAAAAGAGAATGAAAAAGTTGGCTTAAAACTCAAAATGTAGAAAACAAAGATCATGGCATCCAGTCCCATCACTTCATGGCAAATAGATGGGGTAACAATGGAAACAGTGAGAAACTTTATTTTGGGGGGCTCCAAAATCACTGAAGATGGGGACTGAAGCCAAGAAATTAAAAGATGCCTGCTCCTTTGAAGAAAAGCTATGACCAACCTAGATGGCATATTAAAAAGCAGAGACATTACTTTGCTGACAAAGGTCCATCTAGTCAAAGCTATGTGTTTTCCCAGTAGTCATGTATGGATGTGAGAGTTGGACTATAAAGAAAGCTGAGTGCTGAAGAATTGATGCTTTTGTACTGTTGTGTTGGAAAAGACTCTTGAGAGTCCCTTGGACTGCAAAGAGGTCCAACCAGTCCATCCTAAAGAAAATCAGTTCTGAATATTCATTGGAAGGACTGATGCTGGAACTGAAACTCCAATACTCTGGCCACCTGATGTGAAGAACTGACTCATTGGAAAAGACCCTAATGCTGAGAAAGATTGAAGGCAGAAGGAGAAAGGGATGACAGAGGGTGAGATGGTGGGACGGCATCACTAACTCGATGGACATGAGTTAGAGCAAGCTTCAAGAGTTGGTGAGGGACAGGCAAGCCTGTCATGCTGCAGTCCATGGGGTCCAACACAACTGACACGACTGAGAGACAGAACTGAACTGAAACTGATCTTCAGGGTGTCTGTAAAATGTACATGGCCCTCACTGGGCAAAATCCTAGGGACATAACACTTACATTTCCACACAGGGTATACCTAAACAAGTAAACACTCTGCGTGAGTGCAAGTAGGGCCTCCCATTCCTCTGGGCCATGATGCACTATGCAACCTCCGTCTTTATCCTAGAGAAGTACTTACATCCAGCACTCAGTAACACCCACCCCGTGGCTGACGGGGGCGCCAGATGTATATAGTGACCAGGGACCCCATTCTAAACAGTGTGGAGGAGTGTCTGCTTACGACAGGGATGGCCAAGCAGGGGACATAAAACAGGAGAGGCAGTGGAGTTCTCCGGGTGGGGTCCATGTCCTGTCACTGGGTACATTCTGTACACACGGGCCCCTTCCTTGCCTGCAGTCAATTCATGAAGACTTGACTTCATTAAGGAGGGGGTGGGGAAAGGTGGGGCCTGGCTCCAAGCGCCCCAGCTGGAGTCCCCCACCCCGGGGCAACCACGCCCAGATTTGACAGAGTTAGCCCAAGCGGGGAGAGAGGCGGGGAGAAGCTGCCGGGTGGAAGGCGGGGCCGGCCGCTTCAAGCCGGCCAATAGGCGGCTCTCCAGGGCTGAGCCAGGAAAGGGCAGGGACGCAGCACCACCGCTTCCCGAGTTTCCCTTGTGGATGCACGGCCTCGGTGACTCCGCTCCTCCCGGTGCAGAGGGGTCTCAAGAGGCCGGAGGAGCGGACTCCGGACGGAATTTCCGAGAAAGGGGAGAGCAAGGGCGCTCCACCCGCTCTGGAGTGGTTAAGTGAACGATGAAGGGCCGGCGGCGGCGGCGCCGGGAGTACTGCAAGTTCGCGCTGCTGTTGGTGCTATACACGCTGGTGCTTCTGCTCATCCCCTCGGTCCTGGACGGCGGCCGCGACGGGGACAAGGGAGCCCGGCACTGCCCGGGCCTGCAGCGCAGCCTGGGAGTGTGGAGCCTGGAGGCGGCGGCGGCGGGCGAGCGCGAAGAGGGCGCGGAGGCGCGGCCAGCTGCGGAGGGGGGCGCTGGCGGGTCCCCTAGGTCCCCGGGCAACCTCCACAGCGCCGTCGGGGAGGCCGCGTCTCGCGAAAAGCAGCACATCTACGTGCATGCCACCTGGCGGACCGGCTCATCGTTCCTGGGCGAGCTCTTTAACCAGCACCCGGACGTTTTCTACTTGTACGAGCCCATGTGGCATCTGTGGCAGGCGCTGTATCCGGGCGACGCCGAGAGTCTGCAGGGCGCACTCCGAGACATGCTGCGCTCACTCTTCCGCTGCGACTTCTCAGTCCTGCAGCTGTACGCGCCGCCCGGTGACCCCGCTGCGCGCCCCCCGGACGCGGCCAATCTCACCACGGCCTCCCTCTTTCGCTGGCGGACCAACAAGGTCATCTGCTCGCCGCCGCTGTGCCCTGGCGCACCCCGGGCCCGCGCCGAGGTCGGCCTTGTAGAGGACGCCGCCTGCGAACGCAGCTGCCCACCCGTGGCTCTCCGAGCCCTGGAGGCCGAGTGCCGCAAGTATCCGGTGGTGGTCATCAAGGACGTGCGCCTCCTCGACCTGGGCGTGCTGGTGCCCCTTCTACGCGACCCAGGCCTCAACCTGAAGGTGGTGCAGCTTTTCCGCGACCCGCGAGCTGTCCACAACTCGCGTCTCAAGTCCCGGCAGGGGCTGCTGCGCGAGAGCATCCAGGTGCTGCGCACCCGCCAAAGGGGCGACCGCTTCCACCGTGTGCTGCTGGCGCACGGCGTAGGAGCTCGCCCCGGGGGAGCGTCCCGTGCGCTGCCAGCCGCGCCGCGTGCCGACTTCTTCTTGACCGGTGCGCTTGAGGTGATCTGCGAAGCCTGGATGCGCGATTTGCTGTTCGCGCGCGGCGCTCCCACCTGGCTGCGGCGCCGCTACCTAAGGCTGCGCTACGAGGACCTGGTGCAGCAGCCGCGCGCCCAGCTGCGCCGCTTGCAACGCTTTGCCGGGCTCCGCGCGCTTGCAGCCCTCGACGCCTTCGCGCTCAACATGACGCGCGGGGCTGCCTATGGCGCTGACCGGCCCTTCCACCTGTCGGCGCGCGATGCCCGCGAGGCCGTGCACGCCTGGCGCGAGCGCCTGAGCCGAGAGCAGGTGCACCAGGTGGAGGCTGCCTGCGCCCCAGCCATGCGCCTGCTGGCTTACCCTCGTAGCGGGGAAGACGTCGATGTCGAGCCGCCTGAGGACGAGGAGACACAGCCGGAGCCCGAGGAGGACGACGCCACGTAGCCGGCCACCGCGGGACGGATCCGGGTAAGGTGGCCCCCGGGCAGAGAAGGGGCAGGAAAGGTTCTTCAGGGAGCTAGGATCAGCCTGCAGGGGGAGGGGAGGGATGCTGTCTCAGATGGATCTCAGCGGGTGAAAATAGATCCGAGCAGTGGGGTTAGCCCAGCTGGGAGCCTTTGGTAGCATCATCTGGATCTCTAGAATAGACACCTGCCTTCTCAGAGGAAGACCCTGAGAAGGTAGAGGTTAATAGCTGAGGTGGGACCCAAGCCTCTGCACTCTGTTTCCTCTCTGAAGTAAGAGGTAGTATGGTCTGTTGAGAATGAGGGAGTGGGGAAAGGAGAGGGAGGAGGGGTCTGAGAGGAATAGAGAATGTTTGAAAGTCACAGTGAAGCTCGAGATTGGAAATTGACATGAAAAGTATAGGATTTCGTGGACCATTTCTAGGACCATTATCATTTCATCTTGAGGCCACTCTGTCCTATGGGGAAACCTTTTGAAGCAGTGTTTGCAGGCACAGAGAAAACCAAAAAGCAGGATTTGAGGGAAAGTTGTTCACTGTTATCCTACCTGCCCCTAATCCATTTCATGTTTCTTCTCTGCCTCTGCCTCTCTGATTTGCAGACTCCGAGTCTTTCCTTCGGATTTACCAAGCAGATAGGCGTAGTCAGGCCTCTCTTGCGACAGTTTTGCGTGTGTGTGTGTGTGTGTGTGTGTGTGTGTGTGAGGCTCTGGTATATTGGCCGGGAATGGACTTTGATTTCCCCTGGTGACTCCCCCCACCCCCGCCCCCAATTGCTGGAGTCCACAGGATATTTGACCATATCCCGTTCACATCAGCTCACAAAAGCTGCCTGGTCTGCTTCCTCTAATGCAGACAGAATCTCTGGGCTGGGCTTCCCCAACTCTGCCCCATCCCCTTGAGAGATGGAACCTCGGATGGACATTAACATCTTTGGCTGTGACTGCAGAAGGATCTTTGTGAAAAGATATCCCCTCTCCATTTTTTTTTTGTTCTTTCTGTGTAAAGCATATATCCAAAGCTATCCTAAGATGCCAAAGTGGGGCTTAAATGATCTCAAAATGTGTTCAGTGTCTGAGTCAGCCTATGGCCTGTTCGTTGGGCCGAGGGAAGTTTGTTGTGCATGATGCTGACCTCAGGAGTCTAGCGAGTGGAATAGGAATGTGATTCCCCAAACTTTGTATGAGTTGGAAGGGTGCAGTCCAGAGGAGGAAAAGCAGCGCGGGCTGGGCGGAAGTGACTTAAGTTTCCATTCATTAGTTTACAGTGTAATTCAGTATTCCTCTGGGATGAAGCTCTGAGGACAAAGTTGAAGATGTTAATGAAGATGAATTTTGTTGCTGTTAATAGAGCCAGAGTTGCAGAGTGATTTTGGAAGCTGACTTTTCTCCCAGTGATCAAGTGGTTTTCTTAGTTTCTGTAATTGCTTAGGAAGTCTGTGTTCTTTCCTAAGCAGAGTGAAGGTAATAGGCATCGGGTGACTTGGAACTTGTCACTTTTTAACAAAAACATCCTTTCATCTGCTAATCCTGTGTTTTCAGATGTAAGTAATATAATGGTTCCCAACCCTCATTCACAGGTCTGAGGGGCCGTCTCTTGAGGACAAATTGCTGCAGTGTTTTATGGCTTTAAGAGCTGACAGTCTCCCAGAAACTTTTACTGTTTTTTTTTTTTTTTCATTTTTACTAACATGTGGCACTAACTGGGGTGAGGTAAGAAAGTGAACTGAGAGGAGGATTCGAGGCCACAAGTCTTCATCCTCTAGCAGGTTAGAGTCTGTGTGTGTGGCAGTGACTATGGGGCCAGACATTGGTGCTGGAGTTTGGAAGATCCAATTGGGGCTTCCTTTGCAGGCTTGCAGAGACATCTGGGAACAAGCTTTAAGATCTTTCATTCTCTGGTGATTGAACCCTTCTTCTGGCCTTTCTGCTGGAATTATCAGGCATGCACTATGTCACCACCAATCAGTGGATTTCTTAAAATGCTTGTATTCCTGGTTCCTAGAAGGATAATGTTATTGGCCAACTGATGAGTTTCCAAAAGTCTGTCACATTGCACTCTATGGATGGGAAGGGGATGGATCCTTAGGTACCAATGCATTGAGTTAGGCATAGTGGCTATATCATTGTTATGACTGCCAACAAAAATAATAAACAATCTATAATAGGAATAGAAAACGTTTTATTTGAGCCAAACTGAAGACTATAGCCCAGAAGACAGGAAGGCGGATGACTCTGAGGAACTTCTCCAGAGAAACATGGTTTTCAGCCCAGTTTTATATTTTGTCAGAACAAAGAACACTAAGCAAGTCAGGAATCCATTCTGTCCAGGTTTGGAGAAATCAGCACCTACACAGTCAGTATGGCCTCAGCCCCTGGGAAGTGAGTCTTATCATGGAAGGAGCACCAGCATTGGTGTCCCAGGAAGGGAGACATTTAATTTTTATTTTTAACATGGACAATATTTTACTTCTATGCCCTTTTCATTAATAAAGTAGATGAACAGTGTATGTTTGATAGGCCACAAACAGGCTGTTTTAGTTAGCATCACATTTTAGTTAAATCATGTGTAAACCAGAAGGACTTCCCCATACCTCCATATGTGAGCATTTCTTTCATCATGGCATGTTATCAGTTTTATAGATGAGAAATCAAAGACTCCGATAAATCAAATAACTTGCCCAAAGTCACACCTGGGCTGCTGAAGGTCAGGCAGCAGTGGTGTTAGACTCCAGAGCTCAGAATCTCTCCATTATAACACACCCTCATCTGCGCCGCCCCCCCCCCTTACTATCTCCTGGCACACCTTTGGCACCACCACAGCCAGGTTTAGTGGCTAGTCTAGGGTGAGAACCACATTTAGCTTTATTACTAATACTGAAAAAACTAATAAAATATCCCTGAGCACTGCCAACAGCAGCTACACAGGAGCCTGTGACTCTAGCTAGGGCCATCTTCCCCATGGCTGTCCTTCACCTGGGACACTGCAGCATGCCCCCGGCTCAGCAGTGAATTAACCTGAGTGACTTCTGGATGCTCCAGACCTGACAGCCAGGATTTGGCAGGGTGGGGGGCCAGTGCACTTTTTTCCAGGTCTGGGCGGGAATTGTAGCAACAAACCAAGTCACCAAGGAGCCAGGCCCATTCCATCTTTTCCATCTTCTTGGCTTTCCTTCATCAAATTATCTTCCCACTGTCACAAGATGGTAGCCTCAGCAAGAAGCATCACTTTGTCACCCAACTATGCAGGGTTGTGAAAATGCAGAAAAGAAAGAAGCTGGTTAGTAAGGGGTGCAGTTTTCCCTCATGTGTCTCTCTTGTCTTCAATCTGGTTATAAAACCTTCTCCAGAAGCCCCTACCCCAGCTGACTTCCTTCTATGTCTCACTGGCTAGAACTGGGTCATGCGGTCTGACCTAACCCAGTAATTGGTGAAAGGGAAAGTCGTCCTCTTGACTGGCTTAGACCAGTGGGTTCTCAGCCCTGGCTGAGCATTGCCTTCACCTGAGGAGTTTTTTGAGTTTTTTTTTTTAAATGTCACTATTAAAAGAGCTCCATCCACAGAGATTCTGATATAATTGGTTTGGGGTGGGATCCAGTTATTAGGATGTTTTAAAAGCTCCCCAGGGGATTGTACAGTGCAGCCAAAGTTGAGAGTCACCAACTTGGACCAGTCTTGCTTCATGCCCTGGGCTGAGCTGTTGCCACTGGATCAAGATCAGGATGGGGACTAAAAGGGTGTGAATGAGCAGTGAACTGTCTGACACAGTCATTCATGTGGAAGAACTTGGAGCTGTGAAATACCACACAGCTGTTAATATGGAAATAGGAAAAACAGCTTAAATTAATCATGGCTCTATATATCACCCTCTCACATTCCTTCAGTGCTTCCCAGGTGGCGCTAGTAGAAAAGAACTTGCCTGCCAATGCAAGAGATGAAAGAAACATGGGTTCACTCCCTGGGTTGGGAAGAGCCCATGGAGAAGGTCATGGAAACCCACTCCAGTATTCTTGCCTGGAGAATCCCATGGACAGAGGAGCCTGGCGGGCTAGTCCATGGGGTTGCAAAGAGTCAAACACGACTGAGTGACTTAGCACACACACAGGCTCACTTCATAGAAGTAACCACTATGTTTCTTGTATGTCTAGGAATGTTTTATGCAAATTCAAACAGAAATATAAAGCCCTTTTGTACTTAAATCTTTTTAATTCCTTAAAATTTTTAAATTGAGATATGACATAACTTTATATTATTTTCAGTTGTACAACATAATGGTTCAGTATTTATATGTATTGCAAAAGATCTCCACAATTAGTCCAGTTAATATCCATCACCACACATGGTTATATAGTTTTTTTTCTTATGATGAGAACTTTTAAGATCCACTTTCTTAATAACTTTAAAGTATACGGGAATTCCTTGATGGTCCAGTGGTTAGGACTCAGCATTTTCACTGCTGAGGTCCCAGGTTCAATGCCTGGATGGGGAACTAATATCCCACAAGCCGTGTGACATGGTCATTGTGTGTGTATGTGTATATACACACAAAAAATAGTATTATTAACTTTAGTCACCATGCTGTACATCTCCATGACTTATTTATTTTATAACTGGAAGTTTATACCTTTTGACCCCCTTCGGCCATTTCAACCTCTGCCCCCTGCACCCTCTGCTTCTGGCAACCACTAGTCTGTTCTTTGCATCTATGAGTTCATGGGTTTTAGGGAGGGAAGTAGAGGGCTTGATTTCACATATAACTGAGATTATACAGTATTTGTCTTTCTCTTTCTGACTTACTTCACTTAACATAATGCCTTCAAGGTTCATCCAGGTTGTCACAAATGGCAGTCTCATTCTTTTATTATGATTGAATAGTAATGCCTTGGATACCATATTTGCTTTATCCGTTTATCCATGGATGAACACATAGTTATTTCCATATCTTAGATATTGTAAATAATGCTGCAGTGAACATGGGAGTACAGATATCTTTTTGAGATATCTGT